CATTTCTGACAGGCCTTTCTTCAGGAAAAATATAAAAATCTCTTCCTTTATATTCAGGAATGATACATGCTCTTCAATTTGTTTATGAGAATGAGAGTAGAGCAGCAGAGATTGCCAAGACTGACAGTTCAGTACCTTTCTGAATGTAACTCCCAAATTCTGCCATGGCAGTTGTATTCAAATCCTCTGGAGACCTGGACACAGTTGGGATTTTAATGGCCCCTTCAAAGAAACACAGGACAGAAATCACTCAGCACCAAAACCAAACAAAGCTCAAACTGCCCTTCAAAAGTGGAAGTACATTTATGCTCCTGAGCGTTTTTCCAGGCTTTAAACATTATTTCACAGCACAGCACGAGCTGCCACCATCAAAAGGAGACTGATGTGCTTCAGCTGGGCCGTGCACATGCAGCCACAGCGTTTCCTAACAGCTCAGCCAAGGTATCTCTCCAGACAATTTGACTCCACTTTTCATGCTGAAGTGTTGAATGACATCCTTAGAAATGCTACTGTCCAGGAGCAGCTGCAACTGGCTTGGGTGATCTGATTCCCCAGAGCCATAGGCTCCTCTGGCAGCTGAACAGGCAGCTGGGTTGGCAGTCCAAGGCTCTTTCTCAAGAGTTAAGCAGGTTGTGATGGTTATTACACCTCCATAGTGCTTTGTAAATTAACCTATATAAACAGACAGGGCTTTTGTTGGCCCTTTTGGTCTGCCCTGTCATTTAAACAGGCTCTCCAACATCCAGTCCCTGTCCTGCAGCACATGGGAGTAACTCAGCCCAGCTGCCTTTCCAAACAGCAGCTGCCAGGAGAGGTTACAGATTCTTTTGAGGTCTTGTGATTCATGAATTAATACAAACATCTATTGTGAGCCTTCGTTTTCCCATTAAAAAATGAATGCAAACATGATTTGCTAGGCAATAAATCCTACAAATCAGCAAGGTATGAGGTTTACACACAGAGTTTTATCACTTGGTGCCAGATTGTGGTTTCCTGCACAGTGCCAGCCCTACTGAGAGCTAAACCCCTCAAATCTTCTACGTCAGACAGCACAAACAGCCCAGGACTGGTCACAGCAGTGGTGAGCAAGAACAAGAAAGGGAGAAAATCCCGACAGTGACTTATCCAGTGGATAAAGGCATGTCTGGAAACGCCTTCATGGGTGTCTGGCAAAATTCTTTGTGTACAAGCAGGAAACAGTAGAGAAAATCAACACAGGGTGAGAGCTGGCTCAGGAGAAGCACAGGATCCCTGAGGCTGGAAAATCCCTGTGGGATCATCGAGTCCCAGCTGTGCCCAATCCCCACCCTGAGCACTCAGTGCCACCTCCAGGGATGGGCACTCCAAACCCCCCTAGCAGCCCCTTCCAACCCTTCCCATGAGGAAATTCCTGCTGGAGTCCAACCTGAGCCTCCCCAGCACAGCCTGAGGCCGTTCCCTCTCCTCCTGTCCCTGTTCCCTGGGATGAGATCCCAAATCCCCCCGGCTGTCCCCTCCTGTCAGGAGTTGTGCAGAGCCATAAATTCCCCCTGAGCCTCCTTTGCTCCAGGCTGAGCCCCTGCCCAGCTCCCTCAGGACTCTCCAAACCCTTCCCAGCTCCCTCAGGATGCTCCAAACCCTTCCCAGCTCCCTCAGGACTCTCCAAACCCTTCCCAGCTCCCTCAGGACTCTCCAGACCCTTTCCAACTCCTCAGGATTCTCCCAACCCTTCCCAGCTCCCTCAGTATGCTCCATTCCCTTCCCTGGACTCGCTCCAGCCCTTCCTGAACCGCAGCGCCCAGAGCTGGACCTGGCGCTCAAGGCGTGGCCTCAGCAGCGCCCAGCACAGATTTCCAATCCCTTCCTCAGTCCTGCTGGCATCCAACCCCCGCTTCCTTGCGGGGAAAGCACCCGGGGAGCGGCCGCCTGCACACCCGCTCCGTGCCCGGGTCCCCCCTCAGGAGGAGCCAGGCCCGGGGCGAGGGGGGCTCACAGCGCCGGGCCCCCTCACCTCGCAGCGCCTCCTTCAGCTCCCGCCGCTCGCCGGCGCTGAGGGCGGCGCTGCCGGCGTTCCGCGCCCAGAGCCGCGGGACCGCGGCCGGGGCTCGCAGGACGAAGGCGCGGAGCAGGACGGCGGCCGCCAGCGCCAGCACCGCCGAGCCCAGCGCCAGCAGTGCCGCCAGCACCGCCCGCCGCCCGCCCGCCATCACCGGCCCAGCGCGCCCGCAGCTGACGGGCGTGGCCCGGAGCCAATCGCCGCACGCGTCGTCAGCACTGTGACCAATGGGATTGGAGCAGGGGCGGGTTTAAGCCGCTCCTCGCGCGGGTGCTGCTGGGAGCTGTAGTTTGCGGCGGATGTGGCGGCGGCCGGGGGAAGCGCCGAGTTAGGGAATGGTCGCCGAATTAGGGAATGGTTTGCCTTGGAAAGGATCTTAAATCCCATCCCATTCCTCCTCTGCCGTGTCAGGGACACCTTCCGCTGTCCCAGGCTGCGCCAAGCCCGTCCCAACCTGGCCTTGGACAATTCCAGGGGTGGGGCAGCCGCAGCTTCTCTGGGCGCCCTGCGCCAGGGCCTGCCCACCCTCACAGGGAAGAATTTCTTCCCAATATTTTGGGTGCTGCTCCCAAAAGGACGGGGATAAAAGGAGTTCCTGTGGGGAATAACCACCCCAGGCTCACTGGGGGCACAAGTGATTCCAGGACTGGCCAAGGGACAGCCCAGGGAGTCTCTGTGTTGTGCAGCCCCACTCCTGACAGATTTTAAATCCACCTGCTTTTTCAAAATGTGTCACTTCTTTCCTTGATTCTACCAGCTAGCACGACACAACACTTCTTATTCCCTTCTTTGCAGCTGTTCTGAGTGGAATGTGAAGATTTATCCCAGTTTCCCGTGGCATGACCTGTCCCAGAATGCCAAAGAGCAGATGGGAACAGCCATGGTAATCCTGCCCCTGAGTCAGCAGAAGAAGACAATGATTGTTCGCATATTCTTTATTATCAAAAAAAAAAAAAAAAAAAAAAAAAAAAAAAAAAAAAAAAAAAAAAAAAAAAAAAAAAAAAAAAAGAAGAAGAAGAACGAAACCAACATTAAATTAAATAAATTACAAACATTTCTGAGCTGGTTATACATCATGCATTTACCAAGTAAGGCTTCAGAGCCAAAACGCATCAACCTCACTGTTACTTAAGAGTAATAAAGGGAATATTTTACTTGAAGTGAAAATATTTCACCAGCGTGACTTTGAGCTCCCCTAATTCTATCCCCAGGCACTTGAGAATTATGACTTTGGCCACATTGTGCTTCCAGCTGCGGAATTTACCTGCTGGTGTTACATTTATTGCCAGAACTGACCCAGAATTTGGCTACAGAAATGGGATTTCCTTCTGCCTGGGTCATGATTTGCAGGAGAGCCACTGCTGCTCTTTCTGAGCCCTTTCTCGTGACCTCCCATCCCATTTCTTGTAGGAAATTCAGGAAATACAATCTGGTTTATGCCTCTGCATAAACCAGATTGAGGATTGCTGCATTTGGCCTGTCAGACCCCAGGTTAGGAAATCAACCTCCTGTAATGAATCCTGAACATAGAGCTGGGAACTGGAACTTCCTTCTTTTCATTTGATGCCACCTCAGAGACCCAAAAATATTGATCAGGACAGCTTCTTGTTGCTCTGCACCAATTTCTTTGTTACCTTTCTTTCAAAATCAGCACTTTTTAAAAGGAGCACTCAGGCAGTACAAAAGGCCACGAGGAATCACCCTCAAAGATAATTTAGGAGACTTAATCTCTTGCTTTCACCGAGTAAAACAAGCTATACATGGAGATTTCTGGAGAAACCACCGTTGTCTAAGATTAAAACAAGTAATAACCATCAGCTAGTGGGGTTTTCTGCCCTCCTTTGGTTTTATTACTCTCCTGCACCACATAATCAGAAACTGAGGTAGAGAAATGGTGACTTGGTTATTGAGGTGTTACACAAAACCAAATTGGCAGGCTGCTGTTGTTTCATTTAGTGACTGTCTAGCAAGGATGGTTCAGGAAGAGTTATTTTCCTTAAAAATGAGGCATCTGGGAGCTGCAGGAAAACCCCACATTCTCTTCCCAGGAAGCCTTCAGCAATCAGCTCAATAACGTCTGTGTACTTCAAAACCATATGCTAAAACTTGCTTATATTTGTAATATTTTAGAGTGTTAAAATAGAGAAATAGCATTTTAAAATAGAATCTGTTCTCCTGTACTCAGCCCACTGGGCAGGCAAGGACAACATGCACATGAAAAAGAATTCTTATTTTTGTGTAGAAGCCTGTCCTATTATTATGAAAAAAAGTATATTAGCCCTAATATATTAGGGCTAATATATATATATAGCCCTAGAATGTATATATATATATATATATATGTATATTAAGGTGAAATGTATATATATATATATACATATATAGCCTCTGCTAATATATTAGCAGAATTTAGCCCTGCTGAGAGTGTCCTGAGGTCTTTGGGGTGTCAGAAATGCAGCAGTGGTCCGAGGCAGTGTTTTTTGGGATGCTGGGACACAGAAGAGGAGAGAGACACGCAGGGAAATGGGGGGGTCAGTGCACATCAGAGAGCAGCAGCAGCTGGCAGAGCTGCCCCGCCACACCTCGTGAAGCAAACCCTGAGGGGCTCTCAGCGTTTGCTTGTGTTGGGGGGAAGAGGGAGGAGGGAGAGACAAGGAGCAGGATGCCCAGGGGATGCAATTCCAGCGTGGGCAGAAGGACGGGGAGGGACAGAGGAGTTCAGGCAGCTGGCTCCACTTCTGCAACCCATGAGCTGGCATCTCCTGAGCTCCTGCTTCCCCAGCTGGCTCTGCCTGCTCTGGAGCCCTTTGCTCCCAGTGCCACGAGCAGAGCAGGGAGGATTTGGCAGTTCTGGAGGCTGATGTTCCCGTTGCAAACCCGTTGGATCCGCAGGCAGAAGCACAGCTCTCCACGGAGGGGTGGGAAGGAGGATTTTCCTCTGGAGGGTTTGCCCAGCTCGCTGTGCTCACAGAGCTGTCTGGGTCTCTGAGTGGAACATGCTCCCAAACATCTCCTAAAGGGCACAGAGGATGAGCAGGGTCAGGGCTGGTGCCAGAGTGACACAGCTGGGTGTCGTTGGCACACAAACACCCCCAGGAGCTCCAGCCTTTCTCCATGCTTCCAGCTGGGCATGGACAGCACGGGGAAGGGCAGGCCTGGAGGGGATCTCCTGCCAACACCCACATGTGGGTGCAAATTGCTGCAGCAACGACAAAGCCTGTGCTGAAAATCTTCACTGATGACTCCTCTGGGCATGAACCAGGCTTGCTTCTCCAAGTTCACCCCAGTGTGTGAGACCACAGGTCTGGCTGACCCTGAGCTGTGTGGCTCCTCTGTGGGATGCCCTGCCTGCTCCTCACCCAGCTCCTCCCAGAGCTCCTCATGACAGGGATTTAAAATTATATTTGCAATTAACTTTCTGAAGCACTGCAGTTACTTCCAGATGATTTCCCATCTAATCCAGATGATTTCCCATCCCAGCCCATTGGTATCTAATCAATCCCAATTAGAAGTTCTGATTTCTGCCTCACAGCCGCAGCTGCAGTGACCTCTGGCACTACAACTCACCTCCTCCAGGTTCTTGTACTCTGCACTGCCCTCATCCACAGACTCGTCATACATGGAGAGCTCTGTCTGGGTCGGCCTCTGTGCAGGGAAGAGTTGAGAGCACAAATTAGCAGAGTGCAGGGTCAAAAGGAGTGACAACAATGACTAAGCCAGGCCTAAAGGGTGACCCATGCTCCAAGGGAGCTGCCCAGGAGAAGGGGCACAGGAGGAGCCCTGCTCCAGGTGTTTATCTGCGCTTGCCTATCACTCTGGTTTGATAGGAGATACCTTAACTCCTCCTGGGGAGATAACTACTGGTGTCAGCTCCAGCTGGCACACAATAAAGCAGCCCTGTTTGGGGACAGAGCCTGTCTGACACTGTGCCACCAGCATGGGCCACAATCCTGCCTCGGATTCCTCCTGTTCTCCTCCCACCAACGGAGCACTCATGGATGCTGTTCCAGCTGCACGAGCTTTGCCTTCATTTCTTCATTACTGGGGGCCAAATTCTGCCTTTGCCTGTTCCAACCAGCACCAGACTGAGGGCACAGTGCTGGAACAGCTCTCCTGGCTCCTCCGGGCTGGCACAGCACTCATCTCTCAGCCAAGGGTTTGTGTAAAGCTTTGACACTTCTGAATTCCCATGGAAATCCATTCCATCCCAAGGTGCTGGGCCCGTACACAACAGCTGGAATATTAAATAATTAGCTGGATTTAGGCCTTTACCACCTGAGATAAACATGAAGCTTTGCAGTAGCAATTTGTTATTTTTCCATTGTGCTGACGCAGCCTGGAAGGCAAACAGGAGAATCCTGTGGGCTGGGGAGCAAATTTACCTCTTCCAAGATGGGCGGGTGGACAAATTCTCTGATACTGGCCAGTGCAAACAAAACAGCATCGTGGATGGTCAGGAAGATGTGGCTTCGGTCCAGGCCTCCTTCCTCAAACACTCCCCCTGTGCTGATGTCATTGTACACCTGGGCTGGAGAAAGGAGACAGCTGAACGAGGAGGAAAGCAGAGGAGGGATTCTGTGCCTGCTGGGGTCCTCTGAGCTAAGGCAAGGCTCAGAAGAAGCAGGTTTGCAGCAGAAATGAGTGTGGGGATCTGTTTTCCTGCATGCTGAGTGTGGAGATGTACAGCTTTACCACTTCCCAAATGAAAGCACTGATTTCACACACAGACAACAGTGATTCTCTTTCCTTTCTTCTGTTTTTTTTTATCTGTTGTGGCCTGGTCCAGCAAAGGACTGACATCTTACAGTTTGAATAAAGAACAGAAAAGGATCTGCTGTTTGTCAGAAGCTCAGAAATGGGGGTAGATCCCATGGAAATGTATTCTTTGGGGTTCCTACCTTGCACGTTTGCCAAGAACACTTTAATCCCAATCTTCTGGTAACTGGAACACAACTGGAAGGGATGAGATGGGAGAGAGAGGATTAAAAACACTGCTGCTCCAGCTTTGTGCTTATGCATAAAGACTTCTTTCAGCTTTGGGGCTGAAGGAGAAAATCAGAGATGCAGAAGAGGAAAAGCCACACAATTGGAACACAAGCCCTGTGAGGAAGCACTGAGAGGGAGCTGGGGGTGCTCAGCCTGGAGAAAAGGAGACTCAGGGGTGACCTTGTCACTCTGCACAGCTCCTGAAAGGTGCCTGTGCCCAGCTGGGGTTGGGCTCTTTCTCCAGGAGCTGACAGAACCAGAGCACACAGCCTCAGCTGCACCAAGGGAAATTTAGGTTGGATATCAGGAAAAAGTTTTTACAGAAAGGTGATAAAGTTCTGGAATGTTCTGCCTGGGGAGGTGGTGCAGTCCCCATCCCTGGGTGTGTTTAACAAAGCCTGGATGTGGCTCTGGGTGCCAGGGTGGAGTTGAGGGGCTGGGGCTGGGCTGGACTCGATGATCTCCCAGGTCTCTGCCAGGCTGGTGGTTCTGTGACTCTGTGCACTGAGGCACATAAACACTTTTGTGTAAGAGAGCAGAAGGTCCCTGCTGCCTGGCTCTGGGAATGCAGCGTTCCCTCTGGCTGCCCTGGCTGCCCTGGGACCCTGGCAGGGGTCAGGAACACCCTGGACAGAGCCCCCAGAGACACTGGCTGTGATCTCTGTCCATGGAAAAGAGTTTTCAATCCTACACGATGAATGACAAGCTCTGAGTGTTTGATATCAGTAATAATTAAGTGTGGCACGAGTGCAAAAGTAAAATTTTAGGATTCTAGATAAGGGGTCCAAAGGGGACAAGCTGGAGGAAATTGGGTGTGCCTTGTCCTTTTTCTCCTTCTTCATGCCCTCCATGTCTCACTGTGGTGTTGGCATTTTTCTGTTGTTCAGGCTGGGGACACACTGTCCAACGTAGGTGACAGATATTGGCACGTTCTTGTAAATCCAGCCCAGAGAGTTTCTGGTATTTAATGTTTGTCACATCCCACTGAGGGCAGAGCCCCACACGCTGCCCTGCAGGACAGAGCTGGGCAGGGCAGCAGAACATGTGAGAGATCAACAGAATAAACAACCTGGAAACCAGCACAGACCAATGATGGCTTCTGCTTTGGCAGGGGGCTGACAGACAGAGACTTTTACAATCTCAGAATCATCAATACCTCAGATTCCAACACCCAGCTGTGTTGGCAGCACAGAACTCACCTTGCTCAGCGCTTTTGTGCCCATCAGGTCCACAAAACACACCCCACTCATGTCCAGGATGATGGTGTGGAAGCTGATGTAGGGCGGGGCTGTCAGCACAGGGTCGCTGCTGCCCTGCAGGGTGGTGCTGCTGCCCAGCTCCCCGGGGCTCTGCCCTGGGCCAGCCCCGGGGCCAGGAGGACGGAATGTGATGTAGGAGATGCTGGCACCGTTAGCAGTGGTCTGGTTGTTGTTGGTGTCTGTTGGAGAAGCACTCTCAAAGTCCTTCTGGAGCTCTTGCAAAGACAAGGTCTGCGGCAGGGCGGAGAGGCAGAGTCAGGCAGGGCACAGGTGGGGTCCTGGCAGGTGACTGCACCTCTACCCACTGACATGAAGGGTTTGAGTCTGGACTAACTCCAGCCTGGCTGTCCCTTGGGGCTGCATTTAGTCAGGATAATTTACATGAATCATTTATTTCAAAATCAACTGCTCAGCATTGCAAAGGAAATGGGGCTGGGGTGACTGAGAAATGGGCTTTGAAGGGGCACCTTGGGGCTGAACTGCTGACACAGCCCCAGAGAAAGAGGCCAATGTTGCCTGGTTTCTGCAGATTTTTCCCCATGTTCCCATTCCAGCCTCCTCTCCAGAATCCCAGCCATTCCCAATTCTCCTGCACCTTCAGGTTTGGGGAGGAATGGAGATGAAGGTGGGGAGGAAAGGGGATGAGAAGTGGGAAATGTGGCCAGGAGAAAACTGTAGGAAATCCCATGTCAAGAGGAGCTCTTTGATGGGGACCTGGGGTCATTCCCATGGACAGAGGGACCTTTTTGGGAACTCAGGAGCTGAGTTACCTTGTTCTCCTTCAGCAGGAATTTTAGGAGCTTTGCTGGTGGTTGTGCTGTGCCCTTCCCCTGCTGTTTCACAAATTTCCTCCTGGCCAAGTACACCTTGCCAGGATCCACCCCTGTCTGTGGGAAAGAGAGATTTTTTTTCCTAAAAAGTCTGTTCCAAGAGTCAGGAGCTGCTGTTCCTTCCTGGCATTTCCCAGCCTGGGGCACCAGCTGGGTACTGGAGTGGGGTGATCCTGATGGCATCCGAACATCTCCTGGAACTTGGGGAACCTGCACATGCAGGGAGAGACTTGGAATAGCAGGATGCCCCTGTTTTTGCAGAGCTTGGAGGAGGAACCTGCCAGGATTTGGGCACAACCTCTAAAATGAGCTCTGCCAACAGCCCTGAGTATCAGGGAGAGGAAGATTGAGGAGCAGAGATTGGAGGTGACCATGATTCATGATCATCCACAGCTTAATTATCCCCATGTAGCAACACAGGAGAGAGCAAGGGCGGTTTGGGACTGGCTTCAGGCAGGGATTTGTTAAGGAATTGCTCACCTTGGCTATAATTTTCTCCCGGAATATCTCCGAGTTGGCAAAATACAGCGGCGAGCAGTAGGTGACAATTTTAATCCCATTAACTTCATGGACCTGCACCAGAGACAGGAGCTCAGAGCAAGCCTGGGCACCAACGGCAAAGAACAGCATTTTCTCTGAGGATGTTTTATCTGCAGCTCACCTTGTTGTAGGTTTTGGGGTTCTTGTAGATGTCGGTGGAAGTCACCTGGCCCAGGGCAGAGCCGTTGCGGCTGCAGAAAAGAAGGGATCAGCATTAGGGGAAGGAAAACTGCTTTTGCTTCAAATCCATCCCAGGATTTGAACATTTGCTGTGTGAAAACTCTTACATTTCACCCCTGCAGAGTCTACAGGGCAAAAAAAAAGAGTCACTATTTTGAGATGCCGGATTGGGAAATTAAGAAAGATTAAAAGTGATGGATTTAAAGTGGTGAGAAGCCCTCACGCCAGGGCCCTGCAGGCAGACAGGACTCGCTCTTTTTATGAGCTGGGAACTGTGTGGGGTGAAGCAAATACCTCGAGGCTCCCCCTTGCCCTGGGATGTGCACGGGAGCGGGAATGCAGGCAGTAAATCGGCGCCTGCCATTCCTGTTTGCACATTCCGGGCAGGACACCTGCACTCCCCGGGGCTCCCGCCGCGCCTTCCGCGGGCCAGAGGTCGCTCCTGAAAAATCACCCGTCCCTCCTTCTGCCCCTGGGAGATCTCCCGTGGCTCCTGGGGCCAGCAGGTACTCACAACTGCGTGTGGAAAACCACGACGAGCACGGAGAATCCCACGCCCACCGCCACGCCGTAGGGGAGGCTGAGGAAGAAAGCGGAGAGGAAGCTCACGAGCCAGACCAGCTGCAGGGAGAGAAGGGAGAGGAGAGCTGAACCATGGGGGCATGGGTGGAAATGGATGGGGGAAAAAATGGATGGATGGATGGGGGAACAAATGGATGGATGGGGGAATAATGGATGGATGGGGGAAAAAATGGATGGATGGATGGATGGATGGATGGATGGATGGATGGATGGATGGATGGATGGATGGGGGAAAAAACGGATGGATGGATGGATGGGGGAAATGGACAGATGGATGGGGGAAAATGGATGGATGGGGAAAAAATGGATGGATCGAAAAAAAAATGGACGGATCGGGGAAAAAATGGATAAAAAATGGA